ACCCAGCTGTCTCCATTGCCTTCATTTCCTCTGTGCTCAGATAATAACTTTTTGTTACAGTCAAAGCCGAGACAGTCCGTCCTTGTGCATAAGTCTGAAGGCATACATCCAGAGCTAAAACGACCTGCTAAAGGAAGTGAATGAGTATGATACTGCCCAGGCCATCATAGCTGATTTATTAGCTCCGGCTCTTTTGTTTGCTTGGACTGGTGGGACAGCTGCTGCAGTGCTTGTCTGTATCTACGCTTTGCATCAATGCCATTGTGCACTATGAGAGAGAAAAAGAGAAAGCCAATCACCATCATCTACTGATACTGGACAGGGTTGGCCGACAGTGATGAATATGGGTAAATATGAGGCCACATGAGGGGGCAGCAGTGGCAGCCTTTGTAATGGTAATGGCTTTGTAAAATGCTGATATAGATATTGATATTCCATGCATGGGGCACACTGGGTTTGTTGGGCAGCTGTACTGATGTTTGGAAAAGGATAGCTGGGGTATTATTGTTGTGGTTTTTATCATGTTGGTCTTTTCTGACATTTGTGGTAATTACTCCCATGTGTACAGATAATCATTGTTTAAATGTAAAGTGCCCTATCATTCTCTGTGGCACCATTCTAAGTTATGTTAAATATTTAATGTGAATAATGACTTTATTTACAGGGTATTTAATTCTCATAAATACCTCTGACAGCATTTAAAGCTTATCAAGACAACAACAATATGAACATGGGCAGTGTCGGGAAATAGGAAAGGCGATAATCTTTGATTTATTGTTAAACATTAAGAAGATTAAGGAGCTTTTACTCAACAAAGGATAATGTTAATACCTTTAAAAAAGTGGCACGTTCAGCAATTCTGTTCAATTCACAGAATTTTGCGCTACCTGGAGGCATATACCAAAATGAATGAGTAAGCACATGTGACAGACAGAGAGAGAGAGAGAGAGAGAGAGAGGGATTTGGAATTTAGATTTAATTATTCTGTTGGGTATTTTTTCAGTTCTATCTGTTAATATTCAGTTTTCTCATATTATAATAAATTGTTTCTTCTCTCTTACCCATATTTTGGGCAAGCATGTATATTACCTGAAAAAAAAAAAAGGCTCACTAATTGCCCCAAACTCCTATTTCATTTAATGATGACACAAAATCAGCAAGGCAAAATAAATGATGGGGTAATTATAATAGGAATAATTGACCCCATTACCCCATTACATTAATTTTCCTGCATTACATTTGGACTCTGTTCTGTCACAGACTGAGCTTTTATCCCAAACATGAATTCTTCCATTTGATTTTAAATGAAGTATTTATAACTTAGACTGATGAAATTAGACTACTGCATGTTGGACCTGTCAGACTCGTAGATGATGAATCTGTCATGATCTCGTCCACACGTCCAATTCAAATGTTTATTCAATGATGCAAATCCTTGCCTGAGAGATCAAGCTTGGAAAACAGGGATAAGCTGGAAATTACCATTTTGAGCTGCCGTGGAACTTCCTGGATTCGCTTGCTCACCTCTCCGCTCCATGCTCTCGAGATACTTATTGTCCAAATGAAAACATTCTTTTTCATCCCTTTATTTTTGTCTCCTCCTCTCTTACCCTCCTGCACTAATCTTGTAAGCCATTATTTTTCTATTTCCCCTCTCTGTCACTTTGCATTATTTTTGCTGCTGTAATTCCCATTCGTTCCTTCTGAAGTCTTCCTGTCCGGCTTTGTCCTGGAATCTAATCCTGACTTCTTTGGCTGTCGTCAGCCCCGCCCCCCAAGTTCGACATTCTCAGCAGGACCTCAGATGGAATAGCCATGCATGATGCCCCTGCTATAGCAACCACACCCTGGCAGGAAGGCGATGGCTAACTTTTCGGATGGCCAGAGAAAGCCTTTCACAAGGCTGGCAGCAGAAGTAAATCCTTCTTGGAGGAACAAGAGGAATTAGCAGGGAGCAGTGGAGTAGGGATTTAACCCTACCCCTTTTTTCCTTTTGAAAGGCACAGTCACTTCAACTCCCACTGCTATCCACAATCAAACAGGGCAAAGGCAGGGGGTTGCAGAGAGAGAGAGAGAGAGAGAGAGAGAGAGAGAGAGAGAGAGAGAGAGAGAGAGCCAATGAATGACACAAGCACTGGATTGTGGAGGAGCCCCTAATCCCATTTTAATACCTTTCCAAGTTCAGCGCCAAAAGAATGCTCTTTAAAAACAACGCCACAGTGTGAGCAGGCGAAGGCCAACCAGGGGGAGTCACCACTCTCAATCCCCCGTAACATTACCTGATTAACAGCCCGAGGCCTGAGTTAGCAATAGAGCGCAGCAATGCAAAGAGAGTCCAGACCTCCTGTTAGCATGGCTGCTATAAGCATAGCAGCAAAGCAAATGTCGTAAACAATGGCATAAACAAGGTCAATGTTGTCTCAGATGCCGTGCCTGGTCTGGAGAGGATTTCTGTCCTGTGGTTTAAGATGAAAGCCATAAGGGAGAGAAGAAAGACAGAACTCCAGTGGAGCTGCTGCTCTTTGGGGCTGGACACAGGCCCACATCTGGGCCTTTTTAAGCTACTCTGCTCTACAAACTCAATAAGTGCATACACTGCTACCGGACACACAACGTAAGATCATATTCGAGAGAAGACTTACAAGACCTCATCTCAGTTTGAGATCACAGTTTGATCTCAAGGTATAAAATGTCTAAAGTCAGACTTTCGCTTATTCATTTTTTAAAAGAAAAGTCTATCTACGTGCTGAATTCAGTGAGCATTGTAGATATTCATTTGTAGTCATACAGTATGCCAAATAGAAACTCCAAAAAAAACATAGAAATGACATCACTTTAGCAGAAACACAAATCAAAAAGAAAATAGTAAGGCAAAGTGGAGAGATGGATAGAGAGAGGAAAGTGGACTAAGGTTCACCATTTATTTACAGTGGGGATGTGTGTTCCCCTACCATCACCTGAGCGCACAGATTAACAGATATGGCTCTAACATTTGGATCAAGAGGCGCAATTCAGGCAATGCAGCCCCAATATTGATTCAGGCGCTCCTAGTCCAGGACCCCATGAGCAGAATCGGAGATAATCCCCAGAATGCTCCCCAGGTGATCATTATCAGCTTCCAGTCACTCAGGCACACACACAATAAATTGTCATTCAAATTATTTGTGTTCACATGCAGGGACTTACAACTTTTCCCAAAGGAATTTCCTCTTGTGGCATCTATAAGCAACAAGTGTACTGAACCCTTTTTTACTGCGAACAAAATTAAAAGACTAGGGAAATGATAAAATAATTTACATCCATGAAATATTTGTTTAATTATCTAGAATACCTGAACACATTTTGTTTCCTGATTGCAATCAGGAAAAAAAAAAAAAAAAAAAAAACGTTACAAAGTCTCAGCTGCTGGGGCAGACAGAGCATTTAACAGGCCTTGTTGGATGAAGATATTTCTGGATGAAAAAAAGCAGCAATCTGGGAGTTGAATACTAAGCTCAATGGATCTTCAAGCCCTCTGTCTTGCCAAAACCTGGCTCTCACCTTCCAGTTCCTCTTTCTTCTCTCCTTTAAACCACAAAGCAGCCCGCTTACAGGAGTATGTGGTCTTCCCTTTGAACAGATTATGAGCAACTTAAAGTGTGACAACATCTTAAAGCTTTCACCACATGTTGCCAATGATTTCCCCACCACAAAAGACCTTCCTCTGTATGCCTCTGCCTTGGCGATAAGGATCACAGACCAGAGGGAGATAAAAAGACAAGCCTGGAGGAGGGGGAAAGAGGTGGGGGCGAGTCTGGATAATTGGCGTACATTTAGCAACACATGCTTTTCTCCCCACCTATTCTCCTCTCGCTTTCTGCTGAACATGCATGAGGGGGAGGTCATAACAGTTTACAGCAGAATGACTTCTTATGTCACCACATCTTCATCAAAGACAGAGAAAGGATAAGGATTACCCAGGAGGACAGCTGTAAACGATCGCTTTGAACACCATTCCTCTGCCTTCACCACCCGAGCTCCCCTGGCTTGTGGATTCAGTGCATGCCAATCATAAAGACATAAGTGATAAGGAATTTTCAGGCAGATCAAGGGGAAAATACTCTTCTACCATTGAGTCAATTCTGTCAATTTAACATTAATGTTGCTTGTGAGAACGCCAAGATGAACATTGGAAATCCTGGCGCATCCATGGTTTTTGAGAACAGTGAAGATCTTAGCTGTCCGTGAAAACAAGGGGGCAGGTAATACACAACAGCACGTGATGGGTGAAAGTGCAAGTTTTATTGGTATTTTTTGTTATTTTATTATTTTATTGAACTGCTGCCTGTTCAGATAAAATGATATTTTGAGATAAAGATGGTGCAGTTTTAGCCATGGTTCCATCTACAGAATATTATATACAATCATTTGTTGTAATGGAAAATATTATTTGAAAGCATGTTTTGCAAAAATTGCAAATTAACATGTTCTGCATTTTAATTGAGAATTGAATTTTTCTCAGATCATGTTTAAAGTTGGAAGCTATACAAAGACATCCCTTATCGACACTGTTTTTAAATGTGTACACTAACCTTTAATGAAATCAAAGTTCAAAATGGTGCAGACAACTTTAAGAAAATGAAACAATGTAAGGTTAGTGTTTATCTCTGCTACTCAGTTGATAAAATAGTTTAACCCTTCACAACCTACCAATTTTAAAAGGAACATCACTTTCCTATGGGAAACAAATCCATTTATTTATGCCCAGCACTGCTCTTTAATGAGATAAATGCATTTGAGCAGAGGCTGCCCAACATGCAGAATTGATGTTTCTGTCCCCTTTCCCCCCTACTGCCTAAACTCAATGAAAGTGCACAGTTTGGTCCAGGTCATTCTGGACATTTTGGTTTCAGTGAATGACTACTTAACTGCCTCACTGCCTCAATCAGACAGTTTAGTAGAATCAGGCAATTATCATGTCATGTCATGTCATTACACAGAACAATACATAACTAATGGTGGAACTGGTGGTTCAGTGGTTAAAGCTTTGGGCTACTGATCAGAAGGTTGAGGGTTCAAATGCTGTCACTGCCAGTCTTGAGTGCTTGAGCAACAAAAATGAATTAAATATCAGTATCACCAAATGTATTTCCATTATAGAGACAAGGAATTAGGCAATACAAATGCTATGTCACACATAATTGAACACCCATGAAAAAGTCAGCCAGCTGGTTATTCCTACCTGCACTCTCTTATCTTCTACTCTGTGGGTTGCACTTCCCATGGAGACTGTTGTATTGTCTCAGTGTGCATTAATTCATCAATCTAAGGAAGTGTTTCTGAAGTATATAATAGTTACGTGTGTTATGCAACAGATAATCTACAGGGTGTCACAAAAGTCTCCATACTTCCCAGTCTTTTTGAATTTGTTAATAAGTTTGGCAACAGTGTCATTTGTGATGTGCTTGCCACGTTTCCTTTTAAAGTCCATCACAACCTTGTGACAGCTTCCTGACCCAGCCATGAGAATGATTTCAATACTTTTGTCAAAGGCGTGCTTAAAGGTGCGGTAAAACATACTTACATATATATATATATATATATATATATATATATATATATATATATATATATATGAATATATATATATATGAAAATTTTTTGAAGATATTTTGCTAAAAAGTGTTAATTTCCCCTATGTATGAAGACTTTTGGGATACCCTGTATATTGCCAAAAGTATGTGGACACCTGACCATCACACCCCATATGCGGGCCTTCCCCAAATTGTTACGACAAAGTTGGAAGCCCACAATTGTCTAGAATGTCTTTGTATGCTGTAGGTTTCCTGATTTCCCTTCACTGGAACTAATGGGCCCAGATGTGTTCCAACATGACAATGTCCCTTTGCACAAAGTGAGATCCATAAAGACATAGTTTGCTGATGTTGGAGTGGAAGAACTTGAGTGACCTGCATAGAGCCCTGACCTCAACCCCACTGAGCATCTTTGGGATGAACTAAAACGCCAACTGTGCACTGGGCCTCCTCACTTGACATCAGTGCCTAAACTCACTAAAGTGCTTGTGGTTGAATGGACAAATCCCCACAGCCAAGTTCCAAAATCTAGTGAAAAAAGCCTTCTCAAAAGTGTGGAGGCTGTTATAGCAGCAAAGGGGTGTACCAACTCCATATTAATGCCCACGGTTTTGGAATGGGATGTTCACCAAGCATATCTGGTTGTGATGGTCTGGTGTCCTCATACTTTTGGCCATACAGTTAACGTTTAATGCCACACCAGATTTGTCAGACCCATAGCCTGCATGCAAAAACACAACCGACTATATCCTGTTTTTATGTGTATTGTCTTATGCATTATTATGCATTTTCTTATGTGTATAGAAATCCATTCAAATCACACCCTCCCACTTACTGTATTACTACTATATTTAAAATTGTAACCTACCACATTGTATAACAATGTTATGATTGTGTGGCCTGTAGTTTGTTTGTATAATGGTTTCTACCATAATGAATCATACCTTATTCTCAGTCTATATTCATCATTGACCTTTTGTCCATTTTCTTCTTTATGGAGCTCTGTATTAACCTGATATTGCGATTCTTTACCCTTTCCTTTTTTTATCATGATGATAGATTTTGGACTGCTGCCTTTCACAATAAAAACTTTCAAGTGTGTCCGTGTTTGTAACATTTCCGCTAAAATATTGACATAAAATCTATTGGAGACAGAGACAGAAAATAGCTGCCCCTGTTATTGTAACCACCTGATAGCCAAGACTGAAATGAAGTTTTTCACACCACTATCTTATGCCTTATTTTTTTGCATCATAATCATAAAAAAGGGACCTGTGTCTTATTACCTGTTCACATCACCTACTTATTTTTTGTCATTCTAAAATCATAAATAGGAATGGTGTTAGTTATAACCAGCTCTGATATACTTTAATACCTGTAGTCTCTAATAATATGGTCTCTGTTGATTTACTGCAGCGAGCATTTAGGCTTTAACTGTGAATAAAACTTGGTTGGAAAAAAAAAAATTCTTTACATTATGTAGCAGGAATAATAAGACTAACCTCGGCCTGCACTCTAATGTTGAGACCCATTTTGAGAGGCCACATTATCAATGCATTAGATCATAACTAAAGTCCTTAAAGTTTAACCACACTCTAAATAATGCTGTTTCATTAAAGTAAAAAGATACTATATTAATTAAAGCAAAAAAACTTCTGTTTAATAATCCATAAGGAAATTGGCCTCCATTAATGCTTAGTATCAGCATTTCTCTTTGGTGTGGTGAGATTACAGTGTAAAGTAATGAAGCCAAATAAAGAGTTGCCATGTCTTCCCCACGGTCCCCAGGGCAAGCTCGAGTCAGCTCTAAGAGCGGCTTAATCGCCTCCCCCTCTTTACTAAATTAGCATAGTAATGAGCTTTAAATTGAGGCACTTTGTTTTTTAATTAAACTCCCAGCAGGTAAAAGTAAAATGCATTAGAGAGGGAAATGTGCACAATCACTAATGGTCCAGAGTTGCCATCTCCATCAGAACAATCTTTGGGCTCTCTCTCTTGTGTCTCTCCTGAGGAACACTAAGCAAAGGTCTCAGTAGACACTTCCCATCCCTCACTTTGACACTCTTCATGTGTCGGAGAAATATCTACCAAATTATGCGCCCACAGTTTCCATAGATTGTGGGATGATGATTACGTCCCTTGTGGCTCACAAAATGTGATCTAAACCTCGACCAGTGTCTTGCCATGAGTCATCTCTGTGGAGAATGTTCTTCGACCATCTTTTTCACTGTGATGGATACAGTAGATTTGCTTCTACAGATCTGCTCTTTCTGTAGCACTATTGTCTTCTGTGTTCTACTATGCTTTTAGGCATTGATGCAAGTAGCTGGATGGTCACATGGTCATATTTGGTTGACATGAAGCAATTTGTTATTTTTTATAAAAGGTACAGCAGTCTTTGCACTGGGTCTTATCCATCTGTGAATGATGCCTTACACTGCATGTCACTTTATTTTCTGCTCAGTGCGTCAAATATGCCAGTTACATAATGATATTGATGCACTGGGAATAATAATGCAGCTATTATACTGTAGAAGTTGTAGAAGTCTGTTGCATTTTCAGAAAAGTCTATCTTTTGTCAGTGAATGCAAATGTAACCTCTGATCAAGCCCATTAAGAGTTCAGAAAATTACAAAATGTTTGTACATTTGCATTGTTTGCCCTAAATCACAGCTTAGAACAATGCTTTCTGTCCCACTGAACTACTATAACAGTAATGAGATATAGGTGATTATCATACCCTAAACATCTCCTGCTTCAACACCTTCCAAGTAACTGAGCCAAGTGCAACAGTGACAGACACAGAAATAGATAGAGAAAAAAGAGGAGGAGAGCAAGAAATTTTTTAACCCTGTCAAATAAAAGATCTCCTAAAAGAAACACATTCATTAAAATCATACAAATGATTTTGTATTAAAACAAATCCATTGTTCAGGTCAGACACCGGTAAATGAGAGCTGAAATGACAACACTGAAGAATGAAAAGGACTACAGGGTGGCCTGTGGTGGAGATGAGCACACAGCTGAGTGGAGAGATCAGACAGACAGGTACACAGAATGTGTTTGATCAGCTGGACTTCTCCAGCAAGCATGCTCAGTGCCGCACGACAGTTCCTATATACGAGGTGACAGTATTGAAAAGAAGAAAAAGAGAGCGAGAGAAAGAGGAGACTGTGTGGGAGTGAGGTGGTGATTGTGAAAGAATAACATGAATGCTGGAGAAGACTGATATCTAAATCTTTTTTTTTTTTTCATTGCACACTTCAAAGCAAAGAAGCAAACAATTCCCCATGGTCCAAATGATAATTCCTTAAAATGTAAATTTATTAACTATACACCCATTTTCTGAGCACGTAAATGAAGGCTGTTATTGCACTAAAGAAAAATCCTCATACTATGTATGCCACAGTAGACATTCAAAGCTGACCAAGAACTAAATATTTCTTTCTTTCATCTGATATTTTTCCCCATTTCTGGCATCTACTGTATGGACCATAAGAATCAGTGACACATTTACTCCGTAAGAGCCGAGTGCGCTTGTGTGTAAGAGGCAGAGGAGCCTGAGTTATAGTTGCCTTTCGTCAGCCTGCTCTGCTTCTCATCACCCTCCTCCGGGCCTGTAACCCTAGCCTGCAGTAATGCCCATCTCCTCTACTGCCCTGCTGGAGACTAGACATCTTTACATGTGCACTCCAAATAAGAGAGAGAGGGAGGGAGGGTGAGAGGAAAAAAGTAATTATTTTTTAGACTATATGGCCAAGTGTAAGTCACAAAAATAGCATAAGAAAACAAAAATAAAATAATTATAATAGGAATATAAAAATGACCAGCAACAACAGTGTTTCAAAGGCACACAGACATTGTGGAAAAAAAGGAAACAGACAAAGACAGACCCAGAAAGCGCAGCACTAAAAACTCACCAGTACTATACCTGTTTTATAATGCTAATAATTCTACAACCCTTCCAGGCCAATATAAATGATATCCAACAGGCTTATGCCTTTTGCTGGCAACTGGAGGTTCAAGTAGACATAACTGGGCCCTTTGAAATAGCTAGGGATGATTGTACTGAGTCTAATAACTATCAGATGTATGCTATGAGCCATAACTTGCTAAAGATACTTTGGCTAATCAACAGGACACTGTTCAGATTTTCTGATCTCCATGTTACCTCATGTATCTCTCTCATGAGTGGTTTGGGGAGAAATGGTACATTTTCTTAATATACTTACAAGGGGTTGAATATATTTCTGAATATATATTAATATTAAAAAAAATTTTAAGAGTGAGTGTGAGAGCGAGAGAGAGCGAGAGAGAGAGAGAGATGAGAGGGATTACCAGCACCGAGTTGGTTAAAAAGCAACATTTCAAGCAAGGAGCTTTATAATTACTATTGACCCCTGGAAGCCTTTGTCTGAAAAATAAAACAAACAGTAATATAAGGTGTTCTTCAGTGAGGGCTCTGCAAATATGCAAAGAAGAGATCCGGTGAAGAACATCACATG